GTAGCTGGTGATTTCAATTGCTTATTGAGTGTGAATGAGAAAACGGGTGGACTTCCTTATTCACATAAGAAGACTATCGATTTCTGCGAATGTGTTAGCGCGTGTGGCTTGGGTGATGCGACTTACTACGGCTCCCATCACACTTGGTGGAATGGAAGGTGTGGGGGAGCGGCTATATGGATGCGCTTGGACTGATGTCTTTACACATCGTGTGGGAGTCGGTTTTCAAAACATCTGTTCTTCACTTATCAAAAGCCACGTCTGACCACTGTCCACTTTTAATCTCGTACGATTTGCTGAGTACGCAGGTGGCGCCGAAGCATTTTGTCTTCCTGAACGTCTGGGTAAAGCACGAGGATTTTCAGACGGTTGTGCGTGAGAGTTGGCGAGCTTCAGTCGAGGGAGGCCCAATGTTTGTATTGGCCACTAAGCTGAATAGATTAGCCAAAGTATTGAATAAATGGAGTAGAACGATATGTGGAGACATATTTGCTAAATTGCGGCAATATGAGGAAAGTGTCCAGACTCTGGAGGCTGTACTACAGCAACACCCCGAGGATGAGCGTGCGTTAATTGAATATCAAAAGGGTGTTGCCTTGTTGAAAAAACAAATAGCGATAGAAGAAGAATATTGGCAGCAAAAGGCGCGTCTCACAGAGGTACAGGAGGGTGATAGAAATTCCCGATATTTTCATGTTGTCGTCAAGGAGCGTAGGCGCAAATTGTTTATCCATCGAGTTAAGAATGATGAGGGGGAATGGCTGGAGGATAGACAGGGGATAGCCCAGCAGGCAGTGTCCTTTGAGCGCATGTTCACAGTGGAAGTGGCGGTTTTGATCTGTCTAGGCTTGACTGTATTCCACGGCTAGTTACGGAGGACGATAATGATCTGTTGACAGCTGTCCCGGGGGTGGAAGAGGTTAGGGAGGTGGTAATGCAGATGAACTCCACGAGTGCTGCAGGTCCTGACTGTTTCTCGGGAGCTTTCTATAAAGCTTGCTGGGACATCATATAGGACGACATAGTCAGTATGGTCCGGAGTTATTTTACTGGGAGGGACTTCACTAGAGCTATCACGCACACTTCCATTGTGCTGCTGCCGAAGAAACCGAGTCCGGGGACCTTTGCAGATTATAGGCCGATCCGCCTTTGTAATTTCAGTAGCAAGGTGGTCACCAAGCTTATGGTTGTCCGGATGGCCACGATATTGCCACGGGTGTTATCACCGCAGCAGAGTGGATTTGTCGCTGGCCGCTCTATCACGGATAATGTTCTTCTGTCCTCAAAGATGTGTCATGGACTTAGCCGACAGAGCCGGGACATAGTGCTTAAGTTTGACATGGCCAAGGCATATGACCGGGTTTCCTGGTTTTCTTGACCTCGGTGATGCGCCGGTTGGGGTTCAGTGAGGTCTGGATTGATATGGTATTCCGTGTTGTGTCTAATGTATGGTATTCAGTAATAGTGAATGACATAAAGGAGGGATTTTTTACATTTTCCAGGGGGCTTAGACTGGGGGACCCTCTGTCACCAACCTTGTTTGTTATTGCGGCGAAGGTTCTTTCCGTCTATCTGGCCCGAGTCTATGACGATCCCACGGTGCCACGGTTCTCTCAGCCGCCGGGTACACCACATATCCATCATCTGGATTATGCAGACGATGTTATTATTTTTAGCACGGCTAGGCTGGGGGCAATCTCGAAGGTCATTGCAGTTCTGAAGAGCTACGAGGAGATCTCGGGCCAACTGGTCAGTTTTCAGAAGAGTGCATTTTATATGCACCCCCGTACCCCAGCCCGGGTGGTGGACAAAGTTCGGAGGGAAATTGGGTGTGTGCATAATGAGTTCCCTTTTACTTATCTTGGGTGCCCGTTGTACATAGGGCATAAGAAATGTATTTACTTTGCCTCGATGGTTGATAAAGTCAAAACTAAGTGCTTGAGTTGGCAACTACGGGTTTTATCAAAAGGGGGGAAGGCTGTTTTGATATCATCGGTACTACAAGCTATTCCACTACACTTGTTTGCAGCCTGTGCGCCGCCCAAGCAAGTCGTTCGGGACTTGGAACGGTGTTTTGCAAGCTTCTTAAGGAAGCAATCAGGGGGAGCCCAGTACCATTGGAGTTCGTGGAAAACTCTTTCCTTGCCTAAGAAGAAGGGGGGAGTTGGCTTCCTGGACTTGGACTTAATGGTTTGATCAGCTAGTGCGATGTTGTGGTGGAACTTTCGCACGGAGCACACCTTGTGGTCAGATTTTATGAGAGCCAAGTATTGTAGACGAGTTCACCCAGTTGCTAAGGTGGCCCGGTATTCTGATTCGCACACTTGGAAGCGAATACTTGTAGTTCGCGATGAGGTAGAGCGGGTCCTTACTTGGCGCCTGTTCTAGGGCCGGGTTAATATCTAGTGGGATAACTGGTCAGGTTTGGGGCCGCTAGGCAAGCTATTCCGTTCTCCGAGGGTTTCTTACTCCCAGGAGATGCTCTTGGATTACATACACGATGGTGCACTTGATCTCACCGGTCATGAGGAGCTGTTATATGCTGGGGTCGCTGTGGACTTGTCCCGGATGGGCCAGGGTCCGAGGGATATTCTGCTTTGGACTGCAGCTTCTGATGGTATGTTTTCCTTTTCCTCGGCTAAGGCCTATCTTAGGCCTGTTTCGCCCACTGCACTGGACCCTCTTCTGGCTAAGTGTTGGCGTAAGCATCTACCTTTTAAGGTGTCTTTCCTGATTTGGAGAGTGCTCCGAGGGCGGATACCCACGGATGATGCCTTGTCTCGGTTCGGGCATGTGCTTGTATCGAAATGTAGGTGTTGTCCAGCCCCAGCTTCTGAGACTATTGCGCATGTTTTTTATGACGAGGAAACAGCGAAAGCTGTCTGGAACTATATTTTGGCGTCCCTAGGCCTGCAGTCGCGGCACCGGAATCTTAGGACACTGGTCGCCGGCTGGGGCCGTGGAGGGACGCGTAATCCTTTGTTTTCTTTTGCTGTTAACAGGTTGCCTTGCTTGTGGTGATGTGGGAGCTGTGGAAACAGCGTAATGGGTGTATGCATGGACGGGGCACCCCGAGTGTTACCCGAGTGATATTCGGGGTGGCTAGAGGGGTTGCGGAATGCTTGTTCAGGCGTTGGCCTATGCAGCATATCCTACCCCCAAACTAGAGGACGATCGTTTCATATCTGGAGGCACATGTGCCGAGACGAGTGGTTAGGACGGTCAGGTGGACCCCTCTACAGCAGGAGCTCTTAAGATTAATGTATCTCTTTCGGGAGCTGCAGGGGGGGGGGGGGGCAGTCTTGGTGCGCAACCCAGGGGGTGGACTTTGCTACGGGGTGGCGTGGTTTGGGCATGGGGAGCATACCCAAGGTCTGTTTCAGGCATTGTTCTCGTGTCTAAAGTGGTGCCTGGCTGGAGGGTATATGGAGGTTATTTTGGAGTCCACACTAGTGGACCTGGGACGCTATCTTGATATTTCGATCGGGCCACCATCAGCGCTAGATGATGTGGTATCCCGGCTCCGTTTCCTATGTTCATGTGGGTCTGTCTCTGCCAGTTTGTGCCCACCTAGGGCTAACTTGCCGGCACAGGCTCTAGCTGACTGGGTTGTTGACAAGCCAGGGGAGACTCGCTTTTCATGTTTTACTGAGCTTCCGTCCAGGGTGCGCGTTCTAATTGCTAATGATGATGTGCCATATGTTTTCTTTGACGTGGACGATCCACCCTGATTATGCTTTCCTTGTTTTACTTGTGGGTCTGCGTGCCTGTATTTTGGGCCTGCGAGCCGCATCTCTATTATGCTTTCATTTATATCTTTACACTTGTACGCTTACCTCATGTTTTTTCTTTTTTCTTTTTTTCTGCTGGGCTAGTTGAGTAGATTGGCCTTGCTGGCATAGGGCGTAGGGGGCTTTCCAGTATTAGGGGGTTTTTTCTGCTGCTCTGTGCTCTCTTTGCCTGTTCTGCTTCTATCTGTGTGGCTGTGTGTCTCGCGGGACTTGATTCTTGTGTTTCATGCATAGCATACATTCTGAGGTGGGAGTGCTCTCTTAGTCTGTTTTTTTTTTTTTTTTTTTTAAAGAAGAATCTTGCTTGAGTTTGGCGATTGGAAGAAAAGGCTGGCTGCTATAAAGGGTTGGGTTGGTGTGAGGTGGGCTTCTGGTGCTTAGCATATATGCTATTGCTTCTGTGGATGGCCGTACAGGTTCCCCCGGTTAAAATACAGTACGCTGTACCGAGAGAGCTGGTTTAACACTTAAGGGTGATATATATGTTAAGCATCAGTGGTTAGGGAGCCATCGCTTGGGAACTTGGGCCGTTGAAGCCCTTTGCGATAAAATGCAAAGCTCTGTACGTACGAGGGTGGCTTGGGTTCCAAGGGTGGGTGGAGGCGAGAACCATTGCTCATGTGGCGGACTATTCACGGTCCCCCCGGATAAAAATGCAGAGATATGTACCGGAGGGGATCTGTCCAATGCATGAGGGTGGTGGGGTTTCTGAAGGCTGGTTTCATTGCTTATGTGGATGGTCACATAGGTCCCCTCGAATAAAAATGCAGAGCTCTGTACCGCGGGGGATCGACCTGACGCTTGAGGGTGAAACTAATCCTTTTCTGACTTTGGAGCACCGTTCCCACCCTTTGTGTAGGGCATGACGCAAAGGAATTGTCCAGTTTGGCATGAGGTGCAGGTGGCCTGCAGTATGGGTGTTGGGCCTTCTTGGTGGTTTAGAGTTTATTTCCGTTACTAGTTAGCCTTAGGCCCTTTGCTTTATTCATTTATCTCTTTGTAGCTTTGGTCACTTTTGGGCCTTGGCAGGATGTTGAAAAAAAAAAAAAAGGAACTCTGATTGGCACCAAAAAAAAAAAAAAAAAAAAAGATAATTGAAAATGTTGTTTAAGTAGATTTTTAAATTTTAACATTTTGAAATACAAAAAGCTAATTAACCAAACACTTATATAGTGAAAGCTGAAAAACTTGTATCTAGCCAGCAGAAAGTAAAACCCAGTGACTTAAACAAGAGATCTATTGTTCACTTCTCATTTCCCTTAAATGTACAAAAAATATAATGTCACACGAAATGTACGCGGAAACCTCTTTAAACCGAGGAACACTTGTTTGTGCAAGCACTGGATATAGCATGTCCAGTTAAACTGCAAAAGTAGTGCTGCTCAAAGCTACGCAGAACTCTTTGTGATTGTAGATGCCATGGAGTTCTGGGCAAACTGGATCCTTGTTCCAGATCTCCTCTTTCTTCTTGCAGTTCCAGGAGGGGCCTGTTTACCCATTAACATGTAATAAAAGCTTATAAATGGCCTCGCATTCAACTATTTTCTTCAAATATTTATGTTTACTCACGGGCAAAATGGAAAACTAGAGAAAGGGAAACATTGGATACGTCTACTTGTACATTTATCCAATTGGAAAACAGAAAATGGAGAATAAACGCAGCCTTAAGTGTATGTTACATGGAGTTTAATTGAAATTAGAATGAATGCAATATAAACTGATTAATCTCGGTGGTCTAGACGGCTGGCCGGCTAGGTGGCCAACTAGGCTGCCTAGGCTTCATAGGCTCCAACTAGGCCCAATTAGCTATTGTTCCCTTCTTTTATAAATGTGTTATTTCACTCAAAACGACATCATTTTAAAAGAAATAACCCTAAATTATTTAAACTATGTTTTTAGGTTAATATTTAATATTTTAGTATTAACTATTAAAGTATTAAATAGTTTATAATTATCAACTCTTAAAAAATTTTAAACAAATTTTTAAAAAATAAAAAATAAAATAAAAAATATGTGGGCACCTAAGCGTCCTAAGCGCTAGGCCCCCCAGCCCACGAGGAGCACCTAGCAATTTTTTCAACTATGAATATAACATAAACGAATATGAATTTCAATGTAATTGGAAAATATATGCATATTTGGTTTTGGGTTTTGGTTATATCGGGTAAAATAAGTTGTGCCAAATGCAAAAGTATGTATGGTTTCAGTCATCTATTTAGTATTTTCCAGGATGCTTATGCTTAGAAGATTGTTAATGGCAATGAATTGTGATGGGGTTAGGATGAAAGCATAATAAGCACCTTCCGTTGCGATTTCACGGACTCTTCAAGATTGCTTAGTGCGGGAATGGATTGGCTTTCCATCATACCCATCAAATTCTTCATACGCACACGCATCTGGAAGAGCTGAGCGACAAGTTGACTCACCTAAATCGCGTATCCCTTGTGAGTGTCTAGTAATGTTGTGGATAACATACAAATTATCAGTACAGTGTTTACCTGCTCTTCAGTTTTTCCCGAATCTTGAGCAACACGTTTCCTCCTGTCGGGAGATTCTGCCAATAGCTCAGGCTGCTCCCTCTCCTCTGTAGCAAATGGCAGTTTATTATATGAATCATTCAAATGGAGAGGTAGGTATTCATGAAACTATGTCTAACGCAAATATATAAACAAGTTTGTTTACTAAACCAAACAAAAAATGGGATGGAGGGAGTATCGATCCAAGAAGACAAAATGCTAAAGAAGAGAGAGAACACAAGGTTTAGGTCAAGTGTGAATAACAAACCCGGGGTCATTGCTTCTATTATTGATTCCACTTCTTTTAAGTTCTTCTCAGCATCTCGAATTTGTGCAGGAGTTACCTGTTAACATGTGAAGGAGACGTAAATCTCTTATGCTGGCCTGCCTGGTATCCACAGAATAAAACAAAACAAAAAATAGAGGCAGTTGTGTTACCTTTGCCATCCCAGGAACCATTCCGATAATACGAGACATGGAACCCATCCGTGCAACCATACGAGTTTGCTTGAGGAAGTCATTGAAGTCAAATTTAGCACTCATGATCTTCTTCTGCAGCTCTTCCGTATCTTCTTGGCGCATCTGATCACAATTTGTAGAGATCCACATCAAATTCAGAGCTTACTCTCTCTTCAAATGAAACACAGGAAAGAATATAATGGACCTACAACTTCTTGTGCCTTTTCCACAAAAGACAAAACATCTCCCATCCCTAAAATACGTCCTGCCATACGATCAGGATAGAAAGGTTCAAGGTCCTCCATGCGCTCACCCCTTCCCACAAGTTTGATCGCCTTTCCTGAAACCTACCATGTAAAGTCATGTCTTAAGAGCAAGTCATTGATTGCCCATTAAAAGCAAAAAGTTAAAAAAGCAATGTACCATGGAGAAATCCTTGTAAGGTTCGACAAAGTCATCAAAAAGGGAAAAATGGATCCTACCTCTTTTACACTCAAAGCTGCTCCACCTCTAGAATCCCCATCCAGCTTTGACAAGATGGCACCCGTAATTCCAATTTCAAGATTGAAAGTCGTGACCAGTGCTAAAATTATATCAAAGCAACAGAATTAGAGGATATCTTCAGGCATTCATATTTAAGATGATATGAATTAAGAAATTTCATTAAATTTCAAAATCACGTAATCTTGGAGCCAAAGGCGATGTAATTGTATCATTTAATAAAAATGTAAGTTTTTAACAACTATGGAAAAGAGATATTAACTATATTTAGATTACAAGACAAGAATGTAGTACAAATCATCTCTATGGATATTCCTTAGGACATGTGGCTATTTGTTCTGAAATATTAAAAGAAATGATTAAAAAGAATTGCCAAAAATCCTGCAGATTAGCTACTTCAATAAGCTAAGGATAGAGTACCTGCTGCTTCTTGGCCAGTCATTGCATCCACAACAAGCAAAACTTCGGTGGGATTCAGCACCTGTTTCACTTCTTTCAATTCATCCATCATTGCCTTATCTATCTGATAAAGGTAAAAGGTATAAGAAACAAAAACACATTTCCTCATTTCTGCAAATTATCCCAATTTCATATATAACCTGAAGTCTTCCGGCAGTATCCATTATGACCACATCTATGTTCTTCTTTTTAGCCTCTTCTAAACCTTGTTTAGCAATCTCTGCAGGTTTAATATCTGTTCCAGCTGTATAAACAGGTACATCAACCTGTCCCATTATTAGTAGACTTCATGAGAATGAATAAACCAGAAAATCCGATGTTGTTTTTTCCATTACCGCAATGAAAGAAATCCATTTTGATTGTGAGAATATAATAGTGTTGATCACAGGTCTCTCTTTTTTTTTTTTTCTTTAATTTAAATTGGAAATCATCAATCCTATTCGTAAAACTTGGCATATATTAGAAATTTAGAATCTTGACTACCGTTGAGATAACAATTTCACCATAAGACAAAGCACATTATTAAAAAGTAATATCAAATACCTGTTCACCCAAAATAACAAGTTGGTCTATTGCAGCAGGTCTATACACATCTCCAGCAATTAGCATGCATTTTTTCCCCTGCAATCCAAGCTTCTTGAGTCAGAAATTCTTTTAATCTTAGATAGGTGTGCAAAGGCGGAAACAGAATTTTCAAATAAACAATGGATACAGAAACGTTTACTTGTGGCTTTATACATGTGTTCACATGTGCATGTGTGTGTGTGTGTGAGAGAGAGAGAGAGAGAGGACAAGTTTACTGAATATGTACCAGCTTTTTAAGATATAAAGCTAATTTTGCACTGATAGTGGTCTTTCCAACACCTTGTAGACCGGCTAATAGAATAACTGTGGGGCCAGATTTTGCAAAAATTAGCTCAGAAACCTCTCCACCCATCAGTTTCACAAGTTCGTCATGCACAATCTTCATCAAAAAAATTTATGAAACATGGTTTAGCTTTGTGGGGGAAAAATAAAACAAATGTTTGCAAGTAAACATCACTAAAAAACTTGATCATTAAATATGTAACTTGAAGTATAAGTACAAATAAGAAATTGGCAAGTAATAGCACAGACCAAACATTAGTTTATGCAAATATTGTTCATAAAACTGAAAAAAAATAAGAGCTAACAAGGATTGTTTTGTTTACTGAAATTCTGATAAATCATACTTTAACCATTTGCTGATCTGGTCTCACTCCTCGAATCAAGCCAGTGCCAACAGCTTGATCACTAATAGATTGAACAAATCTTCTCACAACCGGAAGACTAACCTGTCATTCAAGGTGCATATTATAAGTTTGAGGTACATGTTCCATGTCGAAAACACAACCACTAATAGAGCAATTTTGCATACATCTGCCTCTAGTAGAGCCCTCCTAATGTCTCTCATAGGTTCAACAATGTTTTCCTTGTTCAAGACCTCTGAAACACAAGAAACTTAGCCTGTTTCGTGAAAACACTAAAAGCAGTCTACAGGAGCAAGTAGAATTAGAACATGGATACAAAGTAGCACTTCTGAGGAGAAACTTTATAGTGGACGACATAATATATTACCACTCAAATTACTCAGTATTTAAGAGAAATTCTTCTTTAAAATATATCATGCTTGTGATAACCAATACTGAGGTCAATCAATCCACGGGCAACCATTGAATATGGAGTGTGAAACTTGTACAAAATTTATACATCGGGTTATAGATAACTATCTATAACTACTCCATTATATATTTAATTAATCCACTAGTAAAACAGGCCAGTTTGAGACTGTGAGCGAAAAAAACATCTTATATTTTGGACACTGTCTTCCTTCGTATTTCATCAAAAAGTAGCACACCAAGCTTGGTGCTTCATTAGTTCAATTGACAAACCATCACTGACTAGTGCAATGAGCATTTACTTCAAATGCAAGGAAAATTACAGTAACGCATTTACTTTGTCGGAAACTAACATTACTTACAAATTATGCAAATATTATTCATAGTAGAAATGAATGTTCTTAGGGATTCAGCAAGTGTGGTGGTGAGTAATGGGTGCATGATTCAAATTGCTGGCCTTGAAAAGGTCTTCTCATATGCATGCATTATACCTTTTCCAAGATTTGAAAACCAATCACTGACATAAAATGCAGAAAACACAATGCAATATGGTTCTAATACTTAGCAACTTAGGTTCAATCCTCACAAAAACCTTATTAACTCTGCATTACTTGTTGAACATATGAACTTATTCGGTGCATTTTATTGAAGTCGACAACAAACAAGAAAGATCTCAGCTCATAATCCTAAATTACAATTAAAACTATATTATCTACAACAAAATATATGAAGTTTGAAGTGAAAGCTAAGTTGAGATAATAATGAGAACACACCTTCCCCTCTAAGCTTGGTCCAGGCGGATTCAAGTCCGGTGGTGAGCTGCCCGAACATTTCAGCTCTGATCACACCGCGCATTTCCCTTCTGAAACTCACTACATTCTTGGAATTTATAAACCTCCACGCCTCTCTCTGCCACAATAACAAAAAGGGAACTGTAAAATGATAATAATTGAAAGAAAAAGCACAGAAAATTGCAGAATTGGGAGTGTTTAGTTGGACTTACGGTGAATGAGTTTCGAGAAGAGAAAGAGAGGGAGTGGGTGGAAGCAGGCCAAGAAGAAGGAAGAGAAAGATAGGAGGTTTTGGGATTTGAGAGGGAGATTTTGGTGAGCGAAGGTGAGAAATGGCGGGAAGCAACGGTGGACGAGAAAGTTTCCATGGGGATTTTATTTATTTTCCGATGGCCGGAAATGGAAGAGTTTCCGGCTGTTTCTCAGTCTAACATGAAACTCTCCGACAGTGTTGAGTCATCGGAGATTCTGGTAATGTAATGGACTATTTTATCTTCTTTGAAGTGTAATCCAATCCTCTCTGTGTTATCCATTCACCTCTGCTGGTCCCCACTCCCTCCTTTGGAAATTACTCTCCCTGTTAAGTCTCTTTGTATTTGAGTCGAGTTTTTTGCACTTTTGGTCCCACGACTATAATGGCACTAGCAAAATTGATCCAAGACCTTTTAACCTTGCAATTTTAGTCCACGACTATTGATTTTTTTGCAAAAGGATGGTCTTTCCGGTCACTTTTTCGTCAAAATTCCACCGAAAAAAAAAATCTCCATTTTTAACAGGGCTAAAATTGACATTTTACTTATTTCAAAAAATAAAAGAAAAAAATTGACATTTGACTACATACAATATTACTGGGCTACATACTACTGCCCCAGGCGGCGGAGTTTCTGGAGCAGGCAGGGCTGTCAGTAAGCGGCGGAGCGACCGTGGCGTTCCCCGAGCTAGTTGGGTTATCCGGCAGCAGCATTGGAGACGGAGCCAGCACGCCTGCCGGATCATTCGAAGACATCGGAAAAGTTTCGCTGTATAGATTTTTGGCGAGAGAAGCGGCGGAGATTCTCAAATGCAATCGCTTATATATATTTTTTTTGTTGAGATAAGTAAAATGTCAATTTTAACCCTGTTAAAAATGGAGATTTTTTTTTTCCGGTGGAATTTTGACGGAAAAGTGGCCGGAAGGACCATTTTAGCAAAAAAATCAATAGTCGTGGACTAAAATTGCAAGGTTCAAAAGTCGTGGATCAATTCTACTAGTGCCACTATAGTCGTGGGACCAAAAGTGCAAAAAACTCTATTTGAATCACATTATGACTCTCAACCCTAGTCTTTATATAATTCTTCTTGTATATATTTGCCAGTATTATTATTAAATACAATTCTATCACTTCTCATCTAGTATCAATTAGTTATGATTTTTTTTTCACAATTACTAAATCTACAATCGAACCAGAAGATTTTTTGGTCCAAGATTAACAAATTGAAATTCACTGGTTGATGTGGGACGTTGCGAAGACGAGAAACGACGAACAAAAAAATTAAAGAAAACTGGTGTGCAAGGCTGAGGCTAATTTCGAATTGATGTCTTCAAGAAGAATGGGTGGTGACAATTGGAGTCGCGGCAGTCCGCACCAAGGTCAACAGCGTGACGAATGTAACTTTAATATTTAGTGTCAAATTTTTTATTGTTTCGGCCACACGGGAGCCAATTGTTTTCGGAATTTTGATGAACATTGTCAAATTTGTAATGGTTTCGGTCACACGGGAGCTAATTGTTTTCGACGCTATCATGAACAATGTCAAATTTGTAATGGTTTCGGTCACACAGGAGCCAATTGTTTTCGACGCTATGATGAACAGTGTCAAATTTGTAATGGTTTCGGTCACACGGGAGCCAATTGTTTTTTACGCTATGATGAACAGTGTCAAATTTGTAATGGTTTTCGGCCACACGGGAGCCAATTGTTTTCAGCATTATTCAGGGGCTCTGGGTTCTCAGGTTAATTTGGTGTTTCAGCATGGTTTGGGTGCTAAAACCTCGTCAAACTCTCATACTTGAGTTCCGGACACTAGAGCCACAAATCATGCAACTCCAGACATAGTTGCCCTTTCTTCCTCTGAGAAGTACACTAGTAATGACACTTTACGTGTCGGTGATGGTATGGGCCTGTCTATTAGTCGTGTTGTTCATGCTACTTTTGATACCCCTTCTAGGTCTTTTACGATGTCTGATATATTGCATGTTCCTGGTCTGTATACCTCTTTATTATCTATTCAACGTTTTGCTACAGATAACAATGTGTTCTTTGAGTTTCATCATTCTTTTTTTCTTGTGAAAGATATCACCACCAAAGGAAATCCTCCTATGGGGCAGTAGTCCGGGTGGCATATACAGTTTGCATGTTCCAAGTTCGTTTCCTTCCATGTTTCTCTCTACTTGTGCTTCCGCTTCGATTTGGCATAATCTTTTGGATCATCCCCATCAACGTGTCCTCAGTCAAATTCTTCAGTCTTGTCCAATTAGTGGCTCTAGTCGTACTATTCGTTGTTCAGCGTGTCAATTGGAAAAATCTGCACGTTTTCCTTTAGCACGTGTTGAGTCTAATAGTTCCGATGTTCTAGATTTGATATACATCGATATTTGGGGACTAGCTCCTTTGCTATCCTCCAATGGTTATCGTTATTTTGTCATCTTTGTTGATGATTATTCTCGTTACACCTGGTATTTTCCTATGAAGCAGAAATCTGATTTTATGTCATATTTGATCAATTTCGTGCTTTAGTTGAACATTCATTTAATCGTCAAGTCCATTCAATCTGATCTAGTTGCTGAATATAATAAATTACATTCTTTGTTTGTGCAACTAGGCATTAATCATAGCCAGTCATGTGCCTACACTCATGAACAAAATGGTCGTGTCAAACGAAAGCATAGACACATAGTTGAAGCGGGTTTAGCCCTCTTAGGCCATGCCTCTATTTCATATAAATTCTGGAATTTTTCCTATGAAACTGCAGTTTATTTAATCAACAAAATGTCATATGTTGTATTAAATAACTCCAGTCCCCATTTAAAGTTGCATAACTCCCATCCCTCCTACTCTTTTCTTCGTGTCTTTGGGTGTCTATGGGGTCCATGGTACAGTTAGCCGGAATCTCTGAGTCACGTACGACTGGTAGGTTCTAGGACTCAATAGTTCCCCTTGCGGGCATACCGAGTGCGACCCGGTACATGGTCGATTAATGTGCGAACTGGGACTTTGGAGTGGAAAGATGTATTTTCATGGGTCGCCCTCGTTCCGTATATGAGTTCTTTCTAATTTATCGTATCGTTTTTCGTGTTCTGGAAACACGTCTTCCTATTCCATCTTTTCTCGAATCTCCTTTAACGGATGGAAACCCAGAACCATCCCTCACTTCGGAACCCTCTGCTAACAGTTGCGCGATGTTTTACGCGAATCCACGTTCGAAGGACATCATACCAAAGTCGTAGATCTTCTCCCTTATTCTAGTAGAGAGGAATCCCCTTCTCCAAGATACGTCTGCGAGAGTGCCAACTCGACCACACGCCGAACAGAGAGACCGGCTTTCTCGAAGAGCTTTCTTCGCATGCTTGAGCGAGCGCATCCCCTTATCCGTATCTCAAACCATACAATCGTCACAAAATGTCATATTGTTCATCTCCATGTGTCTTCTTAGGATATCCTGAGTCGTTCCGGGGGTATAGGTGCATGGACTTACAAACTAACAAGATTTATGTGTGCAGGCATGTGAGGTTTGATGAGACAGTCTATCACTTTGCTACTAAAAATAATTTGCAAGCATCTCCTCCAGTACAGATCACTCCATGGGCTGAATCAGGTTTTTACCCGGCCGCGATCATCACTACCCCGCCTGGGCAGCCCCACGGCAGCATCGACGCCGCACTACCGTCGCAGCAACTGCTCGTCACCCAGTCAGCCGGCATGTCCGAACACGAACCTACGGATCACACCGTACAGTCGGCTGCCAGGCCCCGTGGTCGGCCTTGGGTAAGACCGTGAAATCAGCCGTTCGGAATCACGTAATGAGTACTCAGAGTCGGTCTCAGGTTCCACCATCAGCTTTAACGGTTCAGGTTTGTCCTTCAGATCCCACTTGTTACACTCAGGTAGTTAAGTACCCAGAATGGCGTGCAGCCATGGATCAAGAATTTAATGCCCTTCTTCATAATCAAACATGGTCTCTCGTACCATCACAGGAAGGTATGAATATTATTGGGTGTAAGTGGATCTTTCGTACAAAACAAAAGACAGATGGCTCCATTGAGAGACATAAGGCAAGATTAATAGCAAAAGGGTTCAATCAGGTGCCTGGACAAGATTTCTTTGATACTTTCAGTCAGTGGTCAAGCCAACTACAGTCAGGTTACTTCTTTCTCTGGCTTTATCATCAGGGTGGACTGTTAGGCAACTTGATGTTCATAATGCCTTTTTAAATGAAAATCTATCTAAGGTTGTGTACATGAAACAACCACCTGGTTATATTGATACTTAGTACCCAAATCATATTTGCTTACTGAAAAGGTCTCTTTATGGATTAAAACAGACACCTAGGGCTTGGTTTAATCGTTTGCACACATTTTTACTATCCATTGGTTTTGAGCCATAAAAAATGGATGTATCCTTATTTTACTACTCACAGGGATCTGCTTGCGTATATCTATTAGTTTATGTGGATGATATACTTATGATGGGGAGTGATCAGGATCTAGTTACTCAGTTAGTGTCAAAACTTTCTACTGCTTTTAAAATTAGAAATCTTGGCGAATTTGGATTTTTTCTTGGAATTGAAACAGTTAAATGCAATGATGGAATTTTGCTTTCACAACAGAGATCCATGAATGACATTTTAAAACATGCTGGAATGGCAGAGTGTAAAGAACTATCTACTCCTATTTCCACTTCAAAAACCGTGGTCATTGATACAACCTTGTATGATGATCCTACACAGTATAGGAGTTTGGCTGGTGCATTACAGTATTTAACTATCACTCGTCCTGATCTTTCCTTTGCAGTCAATCAGCTATGTCAACACATGCATGCTCCTACAGTTTCTCACTGAGAGCAATTTAAAAGAGTTTTGAGGTACGTTAAAGGAACTGTTACTTTGATTTACGAGTCAGGAAGTCATCTTCCAAGGAAATTCATGCCTTCTCTGATTCTGACTGGGCTGGCTGTCCAAATGACAGAAAATCTACAAGTGGCTTTGATGTGTTTTTTTGCTCTAACCTTGTGTCCTGGGTCTACAAGAAACAAAGAACTGTTGCTAGATCTTCTACTGAGGCTGAATATAAAGCTCTAGCAGATGTCTGTGCTAAGGTAATTTGGATTATGTCACTTCTGCGAGAAATCAAGGTTCCAGGTATCTCTGTCCCTAAATTATGGTGTGACAATCTTAGGGCTACATATATGTGTGCTAATCCCATCTTTCATGCGTGCAACAAGTACGTAGAGATAGACTATCATTTTGTGAGAGATAGAGTTGTTGTTGGAGATATTCAAGTCAATTTCATCTCAACAAAAGATCAATTTGCTGACATATTTACTAAAGCTTTGCCTAGTCCTATGTTTTCTTTTCTTAGAGACAAGCTACAGGTTACTAGTATACCATGTGCTTGAGTGGGAGTATTAAGACTCTTTGTATTTGAATCACATTATGACTCCCAGTCCTAGTCTTCCTATAATTCCTCTTGTATATATTCCTCAGTTACAGTTGTTATTACATTCATTCAATACAATTCTATCAGTTCTCATCCTCCCAACCCTCCTTTGAAAATTACTCTATTCAATAAATTTCAATTTTTGTCCATTAACTATTATACGGAGCGTTATGCTGTGCAACTGTGTGCACCATGCATGGTGCACACGGTTGCAAAACGACGCCGTTTCATTTTTTAAAAAAAATTCGTTCAGATCGTCGTTAACGGCGTTAATCGGTTTCCATTCGTATTCAAACAGTATGATATATCCATAATTTCATAATTATATACCCACAATTTCATAACTATATATCCAAAACTTCATAACTATATATCCAGAATTACATAACTATATATTCATAATTTGACAACAGTATATTCAGAAATAATAACTACACATTCATAATTTCATATCCATATATTCATAATTTCACAACTAGACATTCATAATTACATAACTCCATATTCAGAATTCTTAAAGTGGTTGTTCACAGAGAACCATATCCATAATTGCATAACTACACATCCATAATTTCAAAATTATATATCCACAACTTCATAACTATATAGAGGAAATTTTAATTTTGGTCATATGACTATAGGGATCTTGTTAATTTTAGTCCCTGACTTTTAAAAGTGTCAATTTAGTACCTTAACTATGCAATTTTTGTCAATTTTAGTCACTCCGGCCAAATTGGCGGCCAAATTTCGTCGGAAAATTTTAATAGTTAAAATAATGGGGGTATTTTGGTCATTTCACGCCTCTTTTCTTCTTCTCCGGCGAGTCCATCTCTTTCTCTCCCGTTTTCGACGTTCTTTCTCCCTCTAAACCCTACCTTTAATATCATCAAGCCTCCTTTCCTCATCATCTTAGTTCATTGCATTCACCAGAAACGGGAGAGGAAGGGATGGACTCGCCTGCGAAGAAGAAAAGATACGTGAAATGATCAAAATATCCTCATTATTTTTATAATTAAAATTTTCCGTCAAAATTTGGCTGGCAATTTAGTCGGAGTGACCAAAATTGACAAAAATTGCATAGTTAAGGTACTAAATTGACACTTTTAAAAGTCAAGGGCTGAAATTAACAAGACCTCTATAGTCATATGACCAAAATTGAAATTTCCTCTAACTATATATCCATAACTTCATAACTATATATTCAGACTTGTATAACTATATATTCATAATTACACGTCGATTGGAGTTTTTGTAAAAAAAAAATAATAATAAAAAAAAATTGATTGGTGGAGTTAAACGGTGCTACTAATGGCACCGTTACTGCATCATATTAAACGGTGTCGTTTTGCAACCGTGTGCACCATGCATGGTGCACAACATAATTTGCGAATTGAGAAGAGGGGACTTAGGCGACCCAGAAACGTTCGTCGGAAAAATTTTCCGGTGGACGGAGACGTCCCACGCGCCGGCGCGTGGCGGAGGTGGCGACGGCGACGGCGGCGCGTGAGGCCCACGCGCAGGGCAGTTCGCCGGGAAACTCTGCAGCTATGGTCGCCGGACTCCGGCGGACCCTTCTGAACCGGCGGTGACGACAGGAGATCGTCGGAAAAAAAAGATTATTGAAGTGGCTCTAATACCATGTGAATAGGTTTTAGAATAAAATACCTTGGAGCAGCTCTCTCTGTCTCACACACATTAGGGAGATTTCAGCTCTCTATATATGTAGGGGCAAGATGGCAACTGATATGGAAGTTTCCATACACCTCAAACCTAATCTCTAGGTTTCCTAATATATAGGATTCTCAATATTAAAATTCTATAACACGGATTTTGCGCTATTATACATGAATTACATTACATTTGGTCCTTGACTATTAAAATTTTTTTAATTAGGTGTATAACTATATAATTTGTATCATTTGATCCTACCATCCAATTTTCCAGTCAACTATTGGCGGAAGTACACCTTCCCGAAAAAAAAACAAATATAATGTTTCTTCCAAAAGAAGCAAATGGAGTGCTCCTTCCGAAATCGGGCAATAGTTGACTAGAAAATTAGACGTAAAAACCAAATGTGATACAAATTACATAGACATTCGTCCAATTAGAAATTTTTAATAGTCAAAGACTAAATGTAATTACATAGTCATGCACCTAAGTAAAAATTTTTAATACTCAAGGACTAAATGTGATTCATATATGATAGTTTCTTACTATATTTTACTCCTTTTGTCAATTTTATATTTTGTGTTTGATTTAGTTACTGAGACTTAACTAAAGTTATCCCAAAAAAAATCAAATTTTAAAATAAGTCAAAAATATTTTTTTTTTTAAAGTAGGTAAAAGAATGAGTTAATTTAACCAATGAATAATAAACATGACATGTAAAATTTAACCAATGAGTAATAAACATGACATGTAAAATGGGACAAAGAGAATAATTTGTAAATTATTTTTTATACTCTGGTTTCAAAATTCAATGTGATTATCAAACATGGATCATTCTTAATTTATATATATATATATATATATATATATATATATATATATATATATATAAGTTGAATCCGAACAAATCTTTCAATTTAGTATTAGAGTTAGATCTATTTCATAATACATCCCTTCATTTATAATGGTTAGCTAAGAAACATGAACTTTGGATGCACTAGGATTGATAATCAAGATTAAGGCATAAAGAAAAATCAGGAGCCATGGATTCATATCTGCATCTACCAGCATCAATATTGGACTAACTGAAAAAGTGTGTTGTTATATTGAAATATTTGTTTCATATGGGAGGGAATTGCAATCCGGTGGAATTACAATTCCCTACAACCAAACAATGTAATTGAGACCTTCATTGAATTGCAGTTCAATTACTACTCAATTATATTCAACAAAACGCCCTGTTATAGATTGTTAGATCCATAAAACTATAGGCACTTTGGGATTGCTGTAACTAAGTAGCCACACCATAAGCAACCAAGCTTTGCCAAAGCCCCATGAACAAACAGTCAGCCTTCGGTGTCGGTTACTGATGGAATAATCTTGCTCTTCAACAAGCTGGAAACCATATGCGTTCCTGACACAACATCGAATTCTAATGCTTCCAGTGTAGGGTTGTTGTGTCACTTAAACACAGACCCAAGGATTATGTCATGCCATTCACTTCTACAACTGCATCAGTTCCAGAAACACATACGTCCTCAAGAAATGGAATCGTCTTCCATACTGTCAGCTTCATAGAATCGCTAGTTTTACCTAGAGAGTGAAAAGAATGTTATCATACAATCTCTGCAATTCGTATTCTTAAGTATGTATAGAAAATTTGAGCCTAACCATCAGTTCTGGTGCAAATGGCAGCATAATGAGAACCATCCAACTCAATTAGTGCAAACTGCCAGTTGCTTGTACTGCTGTGAGGACTGTCAAGGTAATCTACAGTTATTTCAGATGCCTGAGGAAATGTACATATGGACAGTAGTAGTAGAACATTAATGTTTGAATTGGAAAAGTTATATGGACTATGTATGATTGCAAAATACTGAAAAAGAATGTTTTGTGAAAAAAAGGAGGAACTGAAGGCTGTATAAAACTGAATATTTTTAGGGAATGAATGGTTCAGCAACTCAATATTTAGCTTCAAATGTGTTACAATAGCCTATAAAGGCTTTCTGGAATAGAATATGAAGCACGCCACTTATTAGCTCTACTGAAAGAGATTGTATTGATCTACCTTGGAATCTGAATTCAAAGAGTGATGAGAGCTTCCTCCAACAGAATTCCTAAATCGAATAGTAAATGTATTGAAAGGAGCTCCTGAGAACCCTATACCCAATGCTTTGACATATGCCTCCTGCAAGCAAATAGCATACTAGAAATGTTAATAAACTTATTCGAGTGCAAAACATGTAATGCATTCACATATGCTGACCTTCAGGGTCCATAATTTTATAAATTCCTGGTGCTGAACTTGGGAATCACCAATAGAACATAAGACTTTATATTCATGTTCGGAAAAGTATCTTCAAGCTAAATTTAAAATATTGTTCTTTACTGTCCTCTGGTTTTCTTCCACGTCAATACCTATCTATGGAGGAAAACATTGCTGTTTTACTTAAGATTATTTCAACAATTAATAGGAATACTTCATCATAAAGAGACACCGTATATATATGCAAAGAAGGGGCAGAATACTAACAGGAGAATCAACAGTCACTCTACAAGCTATCAGAGAAGTGGTGCGTGAGATATTGAAATGCAATGGAGGCGGTTGCCAATGATCACTATGCTGCCACTCTACCTATAAACAATGGGTGTTCTAGATTACTTGCGATATATCAAAGCGAGGTAAAGCAAAACAGAACCAACCTCAGGCTTCCCGTGAATGTTCTTTCTAAAT